TTGTTTGTGATTATTAATGAAAAAAAAGTACACTTATAATCTATTTAATTTGAACTAATTTTAATTTCAGACGAATCTCTCATTGTTAACATTGAAAGAAATCTTTTTAAAAAATTTAACTTCTTATTTTGAGCCAGATCATGAAGTATATAAACAAATAATTAAACATATATTTATAAAACGATCTTTGCCGAATATTGAAGAAAACGTAACTATACTTATAAAAAAATTAATAGAACAAAAGCACGTTATGCATGCTTTAAATATAATAAGTATGACAGAAAATATCCCTACATCTTTAAGTACTTTTAGTACTCTTTTTCAGTTGCTAACGAAAAAATAAGCCTTCTCAATGAACATAATAAAATATTAATTGTATATATAACAAACCAAAAATAAATGTAAATGTTATATAAAAAAGGCTTCTTTTATTAATTCAATGTAATTTTCTTTCATAAATGCTATAATATTCATAGATAAGTAATATAAATATAAGTATATCATATAATAAAAAGAATACACAATATAGAAAAGAAATGAGTTGTATTTTTTATACTTGAATTTATATTAGTTATAAATCAAATATTACAATACATTAATTGCGACAAATTTTATAAAAAGCATTAAGCTGAATCAAATTAACTTAAATTATGGAATAATAATATTAATGCTGGAAATTAAATAACGAAGTCACCCGTAGATTATCAACCTTTCAAAGAAGATAATCCAGCTCTTATTATTTCATCAACAAGTAAAATATTACTTGCAATAATAGTGCTGTAAAAAAAAAAAATAATTTATTATATAATTATTCAATCCCTTTGATTTCATGTAAACTAACTAAATTTTATAGTATATTAATTTAAATGTATTACCATGAGTTAATTATTTGTTTCTTCACAACATAATTATCGAAAATTCCGGCATCAGCTGGTTTTATAGCCTCGCCAGTACTGAGATCCAAACCAACTGCTTCTCCTAATGTATTACTTTCTTCCAACAATTTAACAATAGTATCTTGAGAATCAAAACCACTGTTAATAGCTGAAAACAAAAATATTTTAATATCAATATGATAGAATAAGTAGAAAGGTAACATGTTAGAATTATATAATAACATACCAAGAGTTTTTGGAATAATCAGTAATGCTTCAGCATAAGCCTGTACTCCTAAACGTTGCTTTCCTTTAACTTTCTCTTTATATTGTTGAAGGGCTTGACAAGCAGCTACTTCAAAAGCACCAGCTCCGGGTATAATAGCTTGATCATCAATAGCATTTCTGATAGCTCTTAATCCATCCCTTACAGCATCCTTCAATTGCTCTAGCGTATATTTATTTGGTCCCTATATGAAAATACAGTTGTACATTAGTAAATTTGAAAATTGTTTATATAAGCAAACAAACTTACCTTCAGAAGAATCGTGACAGAATTTGGATTTTTACAATCTTCTATAAACGTGTATTTAGTTTCTCCCTGAAATAAATCTATTTTTAGATATTTGGTATTATTTATAAATATTTAAAAATGTTATTATTAAATTACCAGAACATGTTCATAAACTAAATTAGCCCAGCCAAGATGTTCCTCTTGCAAATCATCCACAGAATTCATAGCAACTCCACCGCATGCAAGTGCTAAACGTTCCATATTCCTACGTTTTGCACGACGTAAAGCCATAATATTTTCCTTTGCAAGCATATCTAAGGATGGTGGATCAATACCCTTTTGATTGATTATAACAAATGATTTATCAGTTCCATCACACAATTTCTTTTTCAACTCAATAATTTTTTGAACACGCTTATCTATAAAATGTCTTTCTGCTGCTACTAATTTTTCTTTTTCTTCAGCTGTTTTATAGAAGAATCCGCTATTTACCTGCAAATATTAATAATTATATATTTCGTTTCAAAAATTGTTAAAGGTTATTATTTATTATTAACTTACTTCACTTTTTTCATATTCTAAGCTGACATTACATGTAAGAATATATGCATTTTCAACTCTTTTAGGCATGTCTGGATGTCTGCAACCATGATCTGTCACAATACCACGAACCAAAGTAGTGTCGACAGCTGTTCTGTGTTGCATTTCCATCAATTCTACCATATGCAAATCAATTTCTTTTCCCTCTTGTCTAATAGATAATACTGCATCAACGCAAATTCCAGTTAGTTTATCTGCTATGGTAGGATGGACTTTAGTTCTAAGCGATGTTCTTGCTACTTCTAAAAGATTTTCCCTGGTAATAGTAATGGGAATTTTCAGCGAATCTAAAATTTCTAATGTTTTAGCACGAGCTAATTCAAAGCCTTCAGTTAACACCCTTGGATGTAAGCCTTCGGAAATGTAAAGGTCTGCTTGCTTAAGAAGTTCTCCAATAACTAATACAGTACTAGTTGTACCGTCTCCAGTTATATCATCTTGAGCAGTCGATGCTCTTGCAATTAAAGATGCAGTTGGATGTTGAATCTGCATTTCATGAAGTAATACATTTCCATCTTTAGTAATTTTGATATCTCCAGCTCCGGACACCAACCTAAATAATTCCAATATAAATTTATAATTGCAATAATGTCGCTCTAATAATATTACTTTCTTATAGATTTTCAGAAAAAAATATAATGATCGTTCAATATTAGGCTACTCTTGCAGTGACAAAAGCGCTATCATGACCATATAAGGGAAATTAATAAAAAAATTCTACATATGTATACATTGACAATCTATGTTATGCAGTTTATTATGATAATATTTTCCTACGAATTTTTTTATTTAAATTATTTAATGGTCATATAAATACGAAATTAAATAATAAAATAAGCACGTGATAAAATAGACGCATACATTTTCATGGTTCCTTTGGGTCCCAAATTGGTTCTCATTACTTCTTGAATACCTTTAGAAGCAGATATATTTAGAGCCAGTGCTTGTGCTGCTCTGGCAAATTCAGCTTTGGGGTTTAATAAGCTAATTGCAGCCATTTTTCAAATATCTATTTTCTTTTCAAAGAAACAAATCACTCACTTATTAAAAATTCCTATTAACACTTCGAATGAATTACCGGTGTGAATGTATAGATGAGAAATCTATACACAAGTCAAGACTTGCTGTAATTACTAAAAACTCGTATAGATGGTGCAGAAACTGTCATTCATGATAGCCAATGAAAATGCACGTGGACAAGATTCTCTGCCAGTAATAACAAACAAATATCGAAGCGGTACATTTGAAAAGAAAGAAGAAAATGTTGTCTAGTGAAAAATGTCATATTTGAAATAATACAAAACAAAATAAATTGTGTTCAGATTTTTTACAGTTATGATCTATAATCGAGAAAACACAATGATTTCCGAAAAGCTGCTAAGATTAAAAACTTTAGATTTCATTGCTCGAAAAAAGCTAATTGATGAATTAGAATTAAATATACTGTAATTATAAACAATAAGTATTATAATAAATATTAAAATTAATATTAAAAATGTAATTAAATATTAATCTTAATAATGGATATATTGGTATGTGTCAATTGTGTACAGCAAACAGAATACATTAGAAATTCTTTGTTTGGAAAACTTATTTTTAACAAGAGTAGAGGTTATACGATTGATATCAGCTTTATATAAGTCTCGTAAAACTATGAAATATTTGTATTGTTGGAATGCTTTTAAAAGAAAAGAAGGTCCTATACTAATTGATACTGGACATTTCATGGGATCTGGCTTATACATCGACAGGATTCCCAGGAAATGTGATTGGTTATGTGCTCTCAGATGCTTAGAATCTTTAAACACTTTATCTGTGAATTATGCATATATAGCAACACCTACAGGAGATCTCCTTATTAATCTAGCAAAGTATATTTGCTGTTTTATCAATTTTATGATAAGTTCTTGATAAATATATTTGAATTATTTCATTACTTTTTAATAATAGAGTTTTAGGAACAAAATGGCAATGGTTACAATTGTTATGTTTGGAAGAAGAAATTCCAGATAAAGTTAATCCTAATGATGGTGTTGGTGGCTACAGGATACCTGATATTGCTTGGATGGAAGCACGTCTTTGGGCACCTGCTTTAAAAGTTCAATACACTTTCGGTAAAGTCGATATAATACTTTCTTTATGTTTCAGAATACAATAGACGTTATCACGATTTGCAGTTGGTTTATCTGAGTACGACAAACATAAAATGTTCTTTTCCTGTCACACACCAATGCATACATTCGCACTTTCCAGTGACATCGATCTACGTTTTCGACAACTTTGGTTTCTTGATTGCACGATTAAAAGTCTTTGTACTTGGTATTCGAAAACTCTTGGTAATGTATTTAATCTAACTCTAATTATTCTTTTACAATGTGTATTTTTAATGCATTTAATTATTTAGTATCTTTGAACTTACAATTGTGGCATCAACGAGATAATTTGGATTCACCATTGAAGAATCTCTTCCTACGATTACCAGCATTAAAAAATTTTGAATTTACAGGGGAAATTCGAACACTTCAAACTTTATGTTCTATGTGTTGTCAGGTACTAACTCGTAAATGTAGTAAGTATATTGGATATTATATTTTGATTATTTTACAAAAATAATAATATATTTTTTAAACAGCCTTAATACCTTTTGCATTATTTGTAATTTGTATAAGATTTTTTAAGTAAGACACATATTTTTACGTTTTTTCAGATGTTAATTATGTCAATATACATTTACAAAAAATTATACACGATGAAGTAAATAACAATAATTTCTTTAAAGGGGTTCTATGTTTACTTACATGTTTTAAAAAAGAATTTTCTGAAATGAATGTTACATTCAATATTGACTTTTATGCCTCTTAATCAAATTATATTTGTTTCAAATTACGTATAGTCTGGACAAAAAGGAAACAAACATAAAATTTTGCATGTATGATTATTTATTATTTAATATTGTGATTTATTTAAAACATTATAAAAGTAAATGCTTTATTTAAATATTTTCAAACATAAAATTTATATGAAAATGAAAAGTTTCATAATATACATTTAATATGTACAAGATCTTCAGTTTCTTTAGATCTTATAGTACAATTGTTTGGTCTATAAAGCATAATTTGCAAATAAATTATTTAGAGCATTTTCATTAGTTTTATGCAGTAGTAGATTCTTGTTGTTCAAATTTAGGATATTTTGCTTCGACTTCTGCCCAAGTAATCTTTCCATATGAGAGATCTCTGATTACATGTGGAAGTTCATCCAACTAAAATTAGAAAAAAAAACATTTTATAAGTATAATAGTAATAGATATATAAATTAATTTCACAATATATTTGAAATAATATGCATACCATTATTCTAACTTGTCCAGTACTATCTCTTTCCCTAAGAGTAACACTATGTGGTTCTTTCAGAGTATCAAAATCTATAGTTATACCAAATGGTATTGCAATTTCATCTGTTCTAGCATATCTACGACCAATACTACCAGAAGAATCATCCACTTTGTGTGATACATCAACTTTAGTAAGATTTTGTGCTAAAATTTGTATCATAGATTTAACAAATATTTTCTTATATTTTTATGAATGATTAATTTTATTATTTAATTATTATTTAATACTTACACAACTTTTTCACAAATGGTACAAAGTCATCATGACCACTCAAAGGTAATACTGAACACTTCAAAGGTGCAATGATTGGTGGTAAACTGAAATATGTTCGTTTTTCATCTTCTTCTCTTGCTCTAAAATTATGTTCAAAGAGAGCATACATAATACGACCAATGCCAAAAGATGGTTCTATTACTGAAGGTACAATCTCTTCAACATGAACAGTCTTTTGATATCTTTTTATTTCTATCATATTCTTTGTTATTTTTACAAAGGAATCATTAGAAAGTTTTAATTCGCTTTCACCTTTATCATTAATATCTTTCTCCAGATTGTCAATGTCATGTACTTCTAAATTAGATAACATATCTTGGACAGTTTTACTATCTTTTTTAAATGTTTTACCAATAAGAACTTTATTAGGTACAACTTCGCAAACATCTACAGTTTTTGGAGCTGGTAATTTCTTTTCTGCTACTAATTTAACTCCTGTAGCTTTAGTATGTTGTGTAAGATCATATGCAGATCGATCTGCACAACCTACACATTCTATCCATCCGTAAGATGTGAGGCATTCAGCATCCCAGCAATCACAAGCATAATGAGCCATTTCATTACTCATGTGTTGTCGAAAACGTAATTTTTTATCGTCAATACCAACCTTTAATAAAAATAAATAAATCCTGGCCATGAAATATCCTAATGTTTCATTTGCTACTAGACCATTTGACACAGCTTCTCCTATAGTAATAGATTGTGCGCTTTTTCCATCCATCTGATTACACGCTGAATATAATAGCATACTTATATCTTTAACTGTATCAAATTTAGGATGTCTCTTATCATTGGGATCACAAAAGTGTTCAATTTCTGCCATAGTAAATTCTCGGACTCTGATAAGACCCGATCTTGGTGATATCTCGTTCCTAAAGGCATTTCCAATTTGGGCAGCAGCAAATGGTAATCTTTCTTGATTAAATGCAAATAATCTTTTAAAATTAACAAAAATCCCTTGAGCAGTTTCAGGTCTTAAAAAACCTTTTACTAATCCCGAAGGACCAATTTGAGTTGCAAACATTAAGTTAAATTCAATTGGTTCAGTTAAATCATTGTTAGAAATAGGAGATTTCATATTATATTTATTCATAATAGCAGCCATTTCATCTTTAGTCATTCCGTCTAATTTAATTATAATATCTTTACATTCTGCACGTGTATTTTCATCTGTCTTTTTATCACTCGCTACTTTTTCTAAATGTGCTTTAATTAAATGATCCAATCTAAAACATTCGCCAGTTTTAACATCTTTTACCATAAGATCTGCAAATCTTTCTACGTGTCCAGATGCTTTTAATACCGGTTCAGGCGTTAATATAGAACAATCTACTTCTAACATTTGTTCTTCTAAGACAAAAAAGTTTCTCCATGCATTTATTAAATTTGTCTTCATAGCACAGCCCATAGGACCAAAATCAAATTGTCCAGTAATTCCACCATAAATAGCAAAAGATTGGTCTAAATAAAATCTGCGTTTCAATAGATCTTCCATTCTTGATCTATCAAATGTAACTACATTGGATATAAGTGACATTTCTTTATCTTCTAATAACTTCTTACGTAGTTTGAGTTCTGCCACCGCTTTCTTAACATCTAATTCTGGTGCTCCATCAGATTTTAATTTACGTACAAGATCACCCTAAAATTTAAACAATTCATGCGTGATAATTTCATTTTGAATAGGGAAAATATTAACTTAATTTTATTACATTTATTTGAACTTTTTATTGTAAAACAAGAACTATAAAGAAATGTCCATATGGAATACCTGTTCCTTGACACTCGCACGAAGCGGTGCCAGAGATTCTTCAACTTTTGGATCAGTCATATCTGATGCAAATTTTAATACCACTTTTCTATGTTTTTTTTTAGTACCCCAATTACTGAAATCAGTTAACCTGTCAGTAAATGTTAAATTTCTGACCGGCTGTTTAGTGTACAAAACACGTGTATAGCTCTGACGTTTAACTAGCCTACTTGCGATTTGCAAACTATACAACAAAAGCCGCATTCGTACTAGTGTTGCACATCGATATATTGAAAGACCGTAAGATTCTGACGTCTCTGATGCAACAGACAACTATTTTTTAATGGTTACGGCACTGCATTATGGTGCAAACTAAAATTATTAAAATAATATGAATACCGTTTTTCTTCGATCAATTATTAATTGAAATATTTAATCATTAATTACAATAAATAAATGAAAATAAATATTTCCATGTAGTTTTAATTTCTTTAATTTTATCTTCTTAAGTTAGTTTTAAAATAATCGTGGCGCGAAATTTAAACGCAATTCGTAAGAGATGATATAGCTATTAGGTTTGAAGAACTTAATAAATTTCTTGATTAACAACAAAATATTATATATAAATACTATATGGAAATTATTTACGGTATTATACATACATAGATGTCATGTAAGATAATGTTATAAAAGGTATAAACATCACATATTTATTTACACATGCTACATTCATTATTCAGATAGCCAATTCACCATCATCGCGTTTAAACAATTAGAATAAACAAAATAAAATAAGAAAAGAAAAAATATTAGAAAAGAAAAAATATTAGAAAGGAAACATCTTTCTATAATCTTGAATAATTTTATTTTTTTTTTTTTTATACACTATAGCATGGTTTATAGAAAAATTACAATTGAGAAAGAAAAATTTGTAAAAAATTATTCGAGAATTATGATACTTTTCCTATCAATATATTTATTATAACTTTTCAATAAACCCCGCTTGCGTATAATATATTTAATAGTAATATAATATGCACAGATGAGAGATGTGTATTTCATAGCAAGTCCACCGCTTTAATTGCTTGTAGACGCATTGACTGTATAATAATTTTCTTTAACTTAAATCATATATAAATTCTGACACCTAAGTGTAATATTTCACTTATATGCTAAATATTTGCATACATTATACAATAATTTAATCAAAATCATCATCATTGTCGTTCATTATCACTGACCAAATATAAAGGGTTAATAATATCATAAAAATAAGAATATACAGAGGCTTTTTTGTATTTTTTTGTTATCATTTTTTTTTTCTTTCATTTTCTTCTTTTTTTTTTTTTTTTAGTATAACAATAGTATGATCAAAAACAATATTTATCAGTGTAAACAATTTATTTTACATAAGAGCAATACTCTGACATCAAAAAAAGCAATAATAATGGATAATGTATAATAATAAATAAAGTATGAAACGTAAATAATGGATATTTACAAGTATGTAAATGGCAAAAAAGCTATAACAGAGGCAGAATAATTGCTTCTCCTTTGTAAATATACTTTTTATAAGTTCTAAAATAGACTCTGTCACTTGCTTGTTAAAGGTGCACCTTATATGAGTATCGTGTTATGTAATACCTGTACACTTAGAACCTATAAAACATACCATCATCATAACATATAAGAAACTCATAAGGTGCTGTCACTTTATGAATATCAACCACGTGACAGATTCAATCAGAAACACGTACCAATAATATATGTAGCATGAATGCTTACTTTGCTATTATAATTCGTCTATAATGTTCAAAAGGGTCGGCCATGATAAATACCATAGCGGCTCTTATGCAATACTTGGAAAATTGATGAGAAATCTCGTAATCATACTTCCGATTAACTTACACTATCGTAAATGCATAATTTCGATTCAACTATGATCGTGAAGCATTGTTAATGAGACTTCTCGTTTCTATTTATTTAAAAGTAAAAATAAAAAGATCAGTTTTATATCTCTAAACGAATAATCTTATAATCAAAACTTTGATATACGAGAATATGACGGAATATCACAGTTCCGAGCTCGAAGAGCCGCTAGAGAAAATCATGGCATTTCCTGTATTTTTTTTTATTATTATTATTTTTTTTCCTTTTTCTTTTTTAAATCTATCCCAAGATAGTCATTAAGTCATTAACTGTAAGACATTCTAGTTAACAACAATCCTACATACTACTGTAAGATTATCTATTTAAGAAATCGTAACGTTTAGTATTAATATGAAGTCATATACAACTTGCTAAGGATGCTGTAAACTGTATACTGATTGCTAAATGTTCCAAGTGAATACTGTACGTATAATGTACGTAAAAAGAGTCAAAGATGACACATAGATTCAGCACATGTTGCATTTGCGAAGACTAATTTCACGGAATAATTATTAAAGATCATTATGAATTAAAATTGTAATGCATAAGTCGCATAACTTATTTTTTATGGAAGTGTGATGCATGTTGCAAACTGCTTTGAAATACAGGAAATTACCTTAGATAATAGTGCTGCCCTATCATCTAAGGTAATTCAAAAAATAGTTTCAAGACATTTTGTTTTTTAAATGGAATATTGCACGTTGCAATAATTATAACGATTGTATATTTTACAATATAATATTAATTTTTAATATTATTATAATATTAATATAATAATATTACATAATATTATATAATATTATATAATAATAATATAATAAAATATATAATTTAGCAGTTTGCAATTACTCATTACTCTTCGCACGATAATATATACGGAGGAACAGTCAGTTTTCAAATCTTGTAATTTTTTTTTTTCAATATTGAAAGAAGACTATTTTAAAAGATGGAATGCTGTGGTGTGGATTTCGTAATGTGATTGCATAATATGCTGATGCTTGTATCCTTTTAAATAGCATATACTATTGTTCAGAGAATAAATTTGTTTTTGTATATATGGAGTATATGAAAATGATTTACATAGAGTGTATGTGTGTATGTGCATAATGTCAAACTGATAGTATACAGCGTTCCTTTCTCTTTCATTGTTGTTTCTTCTTTGAAGAAAACATATTTCTATTTTTTAGTGTCATCAGTAATTACAATCTAACACATGTCTGTTGTTATTAAAAAACCTTACAATTGCCAAATTTTTTTTATAAACGTAATAATATAATAAAGGAAATTCTTTAAAATAATTTGATCATAAGTTTGATCATAATAGTACCAGGTAATTCTGTAAAATAATATAGTCATTTACCGATTGACAATTGACACTTTGTACTTTAAAAATATTCGAAAATTACCTGTGTTTTTCAAAACTTTTCTATTTAATATTAATATAAGCTTAAAAATCAACATTATCAAATTATAAAGTATAAATAATCGTAAAATCTTATGAAAAATCATAGATGATCAAACATAGGAGTGACTTACACCCTTATAGACATTAATAGATTAGTTAAACAAACGCATCGTAGAATTGTATGAAGGTTAAAGTATTTTGAACATTTTTAACAAATTGCACAGTTTAAAGTTAACGGCGAATTATTGTTTCACCCTTTTCAAGATATAGAATTGGTGCTTTAGACACAATTTTCTTTTTATCAATTGTATTCCTTAATACAATATTTTGTAACTAATTATTTACATCGATGCGTTTTACAGCTTCAGTCTATTAAGCTATTAATCTGAAACCCGACAGCCTTCAAATCCATGTAACATATGACATCCCACGAAATTATTAAAATAATTACGCTATAAATTGAATGTCCTACTGAGCTGGTGGTTGTGGTTCGCTGGGCATGTTTGGATTAGGATATGGCGAGAGAAATGAATAATTTGGATAAGGTGGAGGAGGATGGGGAAAGGGTGGATAATAATTAGGAGGGTGAGAAGCAGGAGGTGCATAGCCCCTATGCATATATGGATCTGCAGGTGGAGGTGGACCATGGAATGCCGAGTACATACGAGCGTAATCGGTGTTGTACGTTGGTCCACCGTATGCTGGATATCCTGGTGTTCCTAGATTATATAATTGCAATTAATATAATATTTAACATATATATATATTTGTTATTTAAAAATATAATACTGTATATCAAATTTGTAAAACTTACCACTTGGCGGATAAGCAGCTGTAGATCCTGGAGCTGGAGGATAATGTTGCGAATATGGATCATACGGCCCAGGTGGATAAGGCCCAGGATAACGAGTACTCGTGGGATGACTGAATGCAGTAGGTATATGTGTTTCATCTCTACTTAAGACAGTAGCTACTGTTGTCGTAACAATTGGCTCTGTAGCTTTAGATTCAGTTGTATTTCCTAATGTTTTGGCAGTTGTACTAGGTACTTGAGAATATACAGTAGGTACATTCATCATTGCCCGATCTTCCATAGGCTTTGCTGCATCCGATTGTGACTTTGTATCCATAGGCAGTCGAGGATTAGTTGTGTGAGTCGGGACACCAGGAAAATATGTCCCGTAAGGACTGGGCAACGATCGTGATCTTGGATCAGTATAATCATAGTACCTTGGATACTGAGCGTAAGGATAGCCTTGTGGAACATTAGCAGGATCTCCTTGAACTGTTGCTTCGCGTATGCATGGTTCTACTAATTTTGGTGTTGTCGTAGTATTTGTTATGGTGCCTACAGACGCAACGGACATACTGGATGTTTCTGCAACATTTTTAGATGCATCTGTACTTCTCTGTAGAGAAGGTGTCGATGGTACTTGCATAGACGATGGTACTGGTTGTGGTGTTAATAACGGTTGCAATGGTACGGAAGTAGAAGGTGCTGGATGTGATTGCTCTTCTATTATAATATCATCGTTAGTTGCAGTATCACGTTTGTCATTTTGGTTAGAAAATGGATTATTAAAACTCGTTATGGCGTCTACCTTTGTAGACTCTTTATCTTCTGGTTGTGAACATTGTTTATCTACTTTTGTCGATAATTCTGACTCTGACTGATCGTGTTGCGTTTGAACACTTTGTGCGCTTGATACATTATCGGATATATAAACCTGTGTACCTTCTTCGGTAGACTTTTGTATATTAGAATCTGTATCTGAAGTAGAAATGCGATTATGACTTGCAGGACTATAATCTGTATTTGAACTAACTTCAGCTACTACATCCTCTAATCGAACTTCCTCGACTCTCTGTTCTGTTCTGACTTGCCCATCAGAAGAATTAGAATTTTCGCCAAGAGTAGAATGATCAACAGGCTCTTGTTTGACTTTTGGTAATCTTGATAATGAAACCTGATTAGTTAAATTAACTTGATTTAAATAAGGTTTAGCAGCTGCAGTTGCAACAGGTTTTGGTCTTTTAGAAATTTCTTTATCTGCAAATGGTTTATAATTAAGTCCGCTTCCAGATTTATTGAACGGACGTCCACTAGTCTGATTGCCTGCTGATGATTTTGGTATTATAGAAATTGCTGAATTATTTCTTAATGGGAAGCTAACCTCAGGTTTAGAGTTCCTCTGAACCATAGAGGATAGACCTAGAATCATGTAATTTAGAATTATATTAGTTTATTCTTAAAATAGGAAAATATATATTTTAAATATTTACAACAAGTTAATATATACAAAAGGAGTAACTAACCCTTTTTAGGCTCTTCTTCTCGTTTCTGTTGATTTAGTTTAAGAGCAGTTCTAATAGCAATGATTTTACCAGATTCAAGTTGCATATAAATTCCTTTAGGACTTTTTAATACCATTACGCGTTGACCTGCTTTCAATACAATGCTTCCTTTATCTGGTGAATTAGTTGGTATAACTACATCTAAAGGTAATGTCATCTCTTGTGCGCTCATTCCTTGTCTCTGCCATACTTCCGCAGGTATCCATCTACTTCCAGTAACACTTCGGGAGCCTAAACTTTCAGCACCACGTTGTTGCATTGGTCTCACAGAAGCAACTGGTTTTGATGTGGTACCAGTGTCACCGCCACGAATAGCTCGAATTTGTAAACCTCCTGCTACATACAAAATGATAAGTATATAAATTACTTGCCTAAATTTGATTAGTTTAAGTAAATTATAAAATGATCGTGTACCTCTGGTTGCTGTATTTCCTGGAACATAATTATAACTTGGTCTAGAACAATTAGCAGCCATTTTTTCAAGTTCATAACCACGACGAGCCAATCGTTTTTCCGCTTGGCTAAGTTTCTTATCTTTTCGATCTACAAGAAGACTTTCATGATGGAATGGCTGTTTGGTAAGAAGAGAAGAATGACATTCCAATACACGATGCATAACTTCGTCTGAGTAACTGTCCTTTGTTTGAGAAAAGTCTTGTACTTGACTATCTTCCTCCCAATCCCAAGACAAAGTAGTTGCATCTTTAAGAGAGAGATGTGCATCAGGATTGCACTGATCTACAACACGATCAGCCATTCCTTGTTTGCTTATTTGTCTATCATAAATCTTTCTCTCGAGGCAATTGTCCGTGACTAACCGATAAACAAAGCAAGGCTTTTGTTGCCCATATCTGTACACTCTACAAACAGCTTGCGTGTCATGACAAGGATTCCAAGAGGCATCAAATACAATTGCACGATTTGCTCCAACAAGATTGATACCCAATGAACCGGCACGCGTTGACACCAAAAAGAGATGTATTTTTGGATTATTATTAAATTCATTAATAAGTTTTTCTCTTTCTAATGCACTAGTACTTCCATCTAATCTATAATAATTAACATTTTTAATCCAGGCATCTGTTTGACCATCTGGATATTTCAAACTATTCCTGGCTAAAAAGTCTTCTATGAGATTCAATGTAAACAATGATTGGGAAAACGCTAAGACCCGATCTCCTAAACGTATCGCTTCTTCTAATATGCAGAAAAAAAGAGTCATTTTTGCGGATGCATCAATCAATCCAGGTACGTAGCCTTTCATTAACTCTGTCGCCTAAAAGAATTTCGAAAAATGGTTAAACACTTTTAATTGAATAATTAGATCATACATTATATATATAAATATATATTTACCCAATCATATGGTATTCCAGGATCTTCTTTTCCTCCTGGAGAACTCTTGCATTCTTTTTCTTCATCCTTGGTAAGTATTTCGTCGTCCGACTTATCATCTTTATCTTTTTCTAATAATTCTTCTTTATCTTTTTCTTCTTCCTTAGATAAATCAGCCTGACTTAATCGAGGACTGTGAGATGGCCCAAGTCCTTGTACCGATCTAGATCCCGGAGTTGTAGAATTTGGACAATTAGCTTCTGCGTTATAGTTCGATTTATTGGAGAGATTATTCTGATGCATAGACTGATTTGGAATTATATTAGGTGGCATATCCTTATTACCCTTATCACAACCACCGGTATTCTGTATATGAGGACCCATATTTCCTTGAGAACTTTTCGGATCATCAGATCGAGAACTTACATCAGTATTATTATTTCCTGTATAATCATAAGACTGGTTAGAATAGCCTTGCGAAGGGAAATAATTATTTTGAAATCTATTTGCATTAGGATCTCTATAATATGAATCATTGCATTGATCCGTTCGAAATGGTTGTCCAGAATAATCACGTTGCCAATATGGGTCATCAGGTCCTTTTATTTGTCCAACTTGACTTTGATGTGAACCATCAGAAGGATAAGTTGGCAAAATAGGATTTTGTGTTTGTGTTTGATTAGGCGGATAATTGGTTGTAGAATTTGAAGATGTAGTTGCTCCTTGACGATCGTTCGGAAATTCATGTGGTGCACTTGTCGTTGACGTATAATTTTGCGATTGCTGCTGATTATCATTTCGTGGATAGAGTTGATCATTTTGATTTAAAGTTGAATTTTGTGACTGTTGATTTTGAGGATAAGATAAAGTCTGATTTGGAGGCTGCGAAATTTGTCCTTGTTGTGCTGTATTGTACCTATGAGTAGAGTTTTGTGGTGTTGATCCTTGATGATTAGCAGTATATCCATGATTCTGATTAGGTGGAGCAGCTGATTGTTGATTTTGCTGTGGTGGTGGATATGTAGAAGATGAATTTTGTGAAGTTGAAGATGATACTAGATGAGGATATCCATGCATAGAATTTGATGTACTCGCATTAGGACCTTGTTGATCGGACGAATAGCCATGTATTTGATTCGATATATTAGAAGAACTGGGAGCTGTTTGACTTTGCGGATATGTTGTGTTTTGTGGTACATTCATTTGATTCGATGCTGGAGGATATCCACGCATTTGGTTCTGTGAAATAGGAGCTTGATTTTGTTGATTTGGCATATATCCGTGAGACTGATTTTGTGGTATTGAATTTGGAGTTTGTTGGTTGAAATTAAGAGGTGTTTGTGGAGTAGAATTAGGATTTACTTGTGTTGGATAGCCATGTGGTTGATTCTGAAGTGGAATTGCTTGAGTTTGCTGATTTCCATAAGCATGAGATGAATTTTGCAATCCAAGATTTTGATTTTGTTGATTTGGTGAAAAACCACGACTTTGATTAGGTGGTGGATTTTGCCCTTGTTGATTTGAAAGATATCCTGTTGTTTGTGGCGGAGGTCCTGTATTCTGATTTGGTTGATTAGGAGTGTATCCTAAAGCAGAAGTCTGCAAAGGTTGATTATCATTTCGTGTATACATAGGATTTGTTTGTCCAGTAGCATTACCATAATTTGGAGCTTGATTTTGTGGAGCATAAGGTGAGTATTCAGGGACAGGTATATTATTAGATTGATTGGGTAATTGAGCCTGAAAGGCAGATGTCTGATTTGAGACTTGAGAGTAATTGTTAGGCCCTTGATTTACAGATGTTCCATAATTACGTCCTTGATCCGGATACGTATATGGTTGACGTGGATATATTCCCGATGTTTCATAATTATTCCCTTGATTTTGATCAGGACGAAAATCTGAATTAGGTGGTCCTGGAGGATATCTTTGAGGATGATTAACAGATTGATCATTTGGTGGTATATAATTCTGTGACTGATTGTTGTATCCTTGCGTAGAATTATAATTAGTACTTTGAGTATATGCTGGAAAAGGTTGATTTCCATACCTTTGTTGACCTTGATTATTGTAAAATTCATTATATTCCCCATGATTATTATCATTTCTGTAATACGTATTTTGATCGTTCGAACGATAATTTTGATACCCAGGATACGGTGCTTGTGACATAGAATTTGAATATCCTGAACTATTTGTAGACATTGAATAATTAGTATAATTATTCTGTTTTGTATTAGAATGTGTACTGTCTCCCTCTGTACTATCTGCATTGGACGAAGGATTAGGTTGCACACTTGCTGCAGGCTTATTTTTTATAGTTGCATTAGTTTTTTTCCCTTTTTTAGATTCTCCTTTTGGCTGACGAGCTTTTGACCGCTTTCCACCTGTTATTGATTTCTCTCCTATTGTTTCTTCTAAGTCTAAATCATCCTCTTCATTTGCTTGACGTTTTCTAAGAAAATAATATAATATATCTGGATGATTCCAAATTTTACAACAAACAGCAAAAGCTTTTAAAGGATTTGGAACAGCTCTTGTTTTAACAACTTGATTCATAAAAGTATCATAGAGCTTACGTTGATGCGGTGTCATTCTAACAAGAAGAATATATTCCTCTTTACGTGGTAATGATACTTGTAGTACAGAGTGAGATCTTCTCTGTACAAAACCTTCTAACAGAGCGTGCAATACATGAGCTCGATATCGCATTAAGCGAATATCTTGTGGTGTTGAATCAATGCACTGACCATTTTGAATTGGCCTTTCAAACATATTACAAAATTCACTTTTGGTTCCTAAATAATTAGGTCTTACAAAGTCAACCATGCACCAATATTCAAGAAGATTATTTTGCAATGGATAACCAGTTAATACAATTCTTCGTTTCGTACGCATTTGTTTTAGAGCCATACTAATACTAGCATGAGAATTTTTAATGCGATGACCTTCATCACAAATAACTAAGTCTGGTCCAGGACTAACTAATGCAGTATGCATCTCATCCAGCAAACCTTTATTTTTGTCTTCCTCTTCTACATCGACTGTATCTTTAAAGGGCTGGCCACGTTTTCGCTTGGCTTTGTTTGGCTTTTTCATAGATAACTGTCTATATAATTCATATCCAATTAACAAAACACCACCTCCCGTTTGCCATTCTTGAATAACTTTAGCCCTTGCTGTCATAGTTTTGTGTGAATCATTTAAAATATGTAAACGAAAATGTCTTGGTCTTAATTCCATACCAATAGGAGAATCCACCATATAGGGTGTTTTGACTTTTTCTATATTCTTTTTATCTTCTGCCATTTCTTCTTTAGCCGTCGCACCTTCTTCTTTTTTTATTGTTTCTTCTGGTTCTCTCTTAACATTAACTTCTGCATTTTGATGTAAAATATTCTCCTCTTTCTTTGGCTCATGATCCAAATCTTGACGTGGTTGATTTGTATAATTGGGAAAAGTATTTGGAGGATTATTGTAATTAGGATACATTGGCCCGGACTGGTGATTATTCGGATATATAGGCCCAGAAGTTCTATTCTCCATATCTGAGTACATTGTTCCTTGTGATAGATTTTCCATGTTAGCATACATATTAGAATTCGGATTTTCCATACCAAATTTAGGTGGAGGTAAATTGGGTGGAGGTAAATTGGGTGGAGGCAAATTGGGTGGAGGTAAATTGGATGGAGGTAAATTGGATGGAGGTAAATTAGGTGGTGGTATATTCAATGGTGGTATATTTGGTGGAGGTATATTTGGTCTACCTTGCATTGGATGACAATTTAATTCTGATTTCATGGGATCAAAATTAGGCATGGAATTTGGATTAGTATTATATATTGAAGATTGTGAAATATCACCCGGATAATTTGCGTTCATGCGTGCATGATGATCTGGTATTGTTTTGTTTAACATATTGTCTTGTACATAATTCGACATCACATGATTATCATATACTGGATGAGTATATGGATTTTCTCGTATAATATTCAAAGACTGTGGTACATTTTCTTGTCCATAACGATGAGCAGACTCTGTACTTATAGGCCTGGATATGTTGGACATATCACTTTGGCTACCACATTCTTCTTTAATTTCTGTCTTAGATTCTATTTCAGATTCGGATTTTACATTTGTAAATTTCTTTTCCATGGATGTAGGATCTTCATATGGTAACCACATATTAAATTCAGCCAACCAGTTTTGTAAAGTATTAATAGGCATAATGCAAAGCACAGTCTTGGCAGTGGTGCACCGAAAAAAAATGTCACAAAAACTAGCTACTTGAAGTGTTTTACCCAAACCCATACTATGAGCCAATATACATCCAAATCCAGAACTGGTTTTGTACCTTTCAATGCTTTCAACAATATTATCATACAAAAAACGTATACCACCGATTTGATGTGGTTTAATAATACGTGCCACCTGTGGAGCTAAGAAAACATCTGGCTCTGTCTCAGGATGCCCTACATTGATTAAGACTCTACCATGTTCATCTGGAATGTTGTATCTATCATTTGTATGCATGCCTGAATTAGATGGATCATCTTCATTGTCAGTTTCCTCTTCTCCACTGGGATCACTTAGTACTATACAATCATCGTCCGAGCTTTCGCTAGAACTAGATATCGTTACTACATCTTTACCTTTAGCTACTTTTTGAGATTTAGGAATACCTGACATTTTTCTCGCTAGATGCATATGTTTCTCACGTAGTGCTTCATCTGCTTCAAGATCAGATATATCAGAATCTGAATAATATTCTGGTCTATCGAGAGGTTCCTTTTTAGGAACAACAGGTGAAATGCTTACAGAAGGTGTCATCATTCTTATTCTTTGTTGTAACATATTTGGACCAACAGAACGATTTGGAACTCGTGAGATAGATGTCTGAGCATTTTGATAAACACCTCTACCTTTTTGCCAACGTGTTCCTTCCATCGATTTTCTTTGCATTTGTCCAGATTGTATACTAGAAGTCGTTTGAGATCCAGTTCCTGAACTTGAATTTACTTTCAATAGTACAGTATTAGGTAAACGAACTTGAGTAGATGGAGAAGATAACGATGAAGAGGATGATTGTGAGATTGTAGTTCCTGCCTGATTTTGTTTACCATGCAAGAGACTAATTACTCTCGTTTGCGTTTTATTATTTTGACGATTAATTGCCATTTGGCGTTGTACTTCCCGAATTAACCTCTGTTGTTCTTGTACTCGTCGCAAACGTTCCATTTCTTGTCGTTGAGCTGATAATGTAGCTTCATCGAGTTGAGTTTCATCCATAACTTCACGGATATTTCTTCTCATATTTGCTAATTTCTTTTCCGCTTTTGTTTCACATTCCGATGTAGATTCCTCAGTACCATCATCTTTTTTCTGTTTCTTTTTAACATTTTCTGAATGTTCAGAATCCAAGTGCCTCTTGTTACCATCCGCCTCATCTTCTCCCCCAGAATGAGATTCTACTTTCTCATTGTCCATACTTTCATCATCTGTATCTTTGGAAATTGGTTTTCCAAGTAAGTCAGCTTCAGATACCTCTTGCCCTTCAATAGGTGCACCTTTATTTACAATAGAATCAGAGTATTAATATAGATTTAAATATACAGTACTTTATAATTATTATCACTACAAAAGTTGTTCGATACAAACCTTCCAATGGTAAAGTATCCAAAATATTAACTGGTTCTTCGTCATCTTCTTCGGGTGGACAATGACTTTGCCTCTCAGAATCCACCCTCACACCGATTTGAGAATCGATTGTTTCGTCCAGATCCATGTCGTCCCCTGAACCTTCTGAACGTATTTCTTCTATTTCTTCCGTATGCAAGCTACCATGCTTCTTTTCTTGTTCCCCGTCAGATGATTCCCCGCTGGACTCTTCGGAGCTCTCCTCGTTAGCCGTCTGTGGTTCTGCATTATTCATATTTGTATTTGTCGAAGGCTCATTCTGAACTGTTGCTTCATTAGATTTAGGGCCCCCACGAGGTGTCACACGTTCAATAGTGACATCCCCAATACGCGTTAAAAAGCTGTCCAAACTATTAGACATGATGTGCAAAATCTAGTAAATCAGGATATATATATATATCCCCTCAAAATATCATACCAAATCATGGAATGTCTTAACACTTTTGTACACAACACTGTGACAACCGAGATGTTTATATTTGTCTCTTACATTGTTCATTCATAATTTTCTATTCCCTTATACCTGTAATAATACATACTTTCTATGGTCTCCAATATTATATACTTAACTTTGATATCGTACAAATATTTATTCCTTTCTATTAAATGTTGTAGATAAATCACTACATATTGCATATATAATATTAGGGGAGAAAAAAAAATTACAATATCCTAATATAGAAATTATTCTAAAAAAAAAAATAGTAAATAGAATAATAATTTTAACTATCACTATATTTGGCAATAACTTATTTCTATCAATCAGTAAACGAATGTGTTTAGATCAGTTTAGAAAAGTGCCTAGTGAAACACGCTAGTTTAATACTTTGTCCCTCGCGAGCGAAATTCGAGAACAAGCATACAGTTTATGAACCTTGATATTGGGGGTTAGATTATCTTTACGAAAGATATAGAACTAATTCTACGAATATAATCGAAATTTTATGCGCGACGAAACATTCATCGTTTTAATTGGAATAAATGGATATCTAAAGAACTGTCAAACGTGTAAAAGGTAATGAAAGCGAGGGCAGGCAGTTAATAAAAGTGTTTTTGTATTTTTCGAGCGAGCAGCTTATTTAAGAAATATCAAGTAATCCCTTTGTATAATGATCGATGTAAATGAAAATCTCTTACGATCCTGCTGCTGTTTCGTGAGTTAAGAAGCGACCATACTAATTAGTCGTTAATTGTAGATGAAAAATTATTGACACACACATACACGGTTCCGATGGACGCCATAGCGTCGTTGTTCGCCGCTCTCTCGACGATCGCGGTTCTCCGGCAAACGCGTTTGAGAATCAGCAAACGAATCTGGTATCCCGTCTAATTACGTTCGAGCTCTTCCACGTCGGCATTTTAAAATTCGGCCCGTTCGGATGGCGGACGATCACGAGGTTATCGAAATCTTTAAACGACAAAAGTGATTCTTCAAGCACGTTCACACGCGTCGCTCTTGCCTTTACGCGGCATTTTTTTCCACATACTTTTTCTAGTGAGCTTATTCCTCTCGATCGAACGCCATCTTGACTGCGCCAGAATACCATCATTCTATGGAGAGAGAGCTATCAAGAGAGTATCATGCCCCTTCATTCCTCTTACATTTCTAACATATTTTTTTTTTCTTTTTTAATTCTCTCTCTCTCTCTCTCTCTCTCCTTCCCTCTTTCTTTTCGTCTCTTTTCATCTTTTGTTTCTCCATTACTTGACATTTTTTTGCGTCTCATTTTTACTTGATATAAAAATTAAATTAGTGCATTGGTTTTTATTTTCGATTTTAGGAAAAAAAAAAAAAATAACTAATCGCCGATATTTTTTGAACTATCTTCCTGTTTTTTTTTTTTTTCGACGATTAAATAAAATCTAGTAAAAAACATATGTAACATTTTCTTATATTTTATTTTACTTTTTTCTTCAAATATATGAATATATTTTCTTTAAATACATAAAACATATATAAATATATGATTTATTTTTATCCACTTTACAATATATATTTAAGTAATTATTTTTTCTATATAATCAATAAAATAATACAAGATTATTTAACTATATTAAAGGTACTTATTAAAATTGAAATATTTAATATTTACATTGTTATAACATTTAATATTTACATTATCGTAATTGTCATAATATTTAATATTTACATTGTTATAATATAAAATAATTATAAAATTAATCAAAATACTGAAGTATGTAATGCAATAAAAATATATACATTTAATAAATGAAAAGATATGAATATAATATGAAATATAACACTTTTCTTATATGATGATATAAAAATATTTTAATTAGCACTTTCACACGCATCTATCCAATCATTATATACATCTAATGGTTCCGATAGAAGATTTATCGTTGTTTGAAAATCTTCTAAACAGACTCTGCACGTTATCCTTGCCGTACTCCGAGATTTATCCCTAAAGATGAATAAAAATAGTTTGTGAGATAATACAACTACTTAATATTAATATTAATAACAATGATAATATGATAATAATCTTACTTACATTTTAACTTCACATGATTTCTCATGATTACAAAAAGGACAATTAAATTGTGTATCCAATGGTTGTATAGCTTTTTTTTTACTTGGTGGCTTTCGTTTACTTTTCCTACGTCCCATTTTGTTTTATATATTTTTGATAAAAATTCCTATCTAATCTCTTTGTGGTAAATTATATTGCATAAGACTTGTTATTTGTTGTGAATTACCCTGTTGTTTGGTTATGTTTTTTTTTTGTTATGGTCAATAAATACAATATACAATAAAAATACAATACAATACATGCAATTAACACAATACTTATGTTAAAGAAACAAGTTTAAAGTGTTTATTGAAAAGATATTTTATGTATAGCACTTGTTAGGAATCGATGAATAATAATGTACCAAGCTAGTAGAAAACAATGTCTCAAGATAACATGTAAGGAGAAAAGTTATGAACAGAATGGCGAAGGCGTGTGATTATTTCACTATGCGATGCGAAATAGCGCTTAGACTGATTAATCCGGTAGAGGGAGAAAGATGACGTTCTATTAGTTCCTTCTTCCTCTGGTGTTTGTGCTGCTCTCTGATGTTACTAGCGGAAGTAGAGACCCTATAGGAGGGACGCGCCATACATATTGCTGGGGTTCCTATTGGCTGAATACCTCCTACAGGGTCCCTAAACGGGAGATGGCTGAGACGCCACCTATCTATTTATATTCGAACCATCACTCTGAATACGTGTTTTCAAGCAGCGGTTTTAAACACACTAGTAACATTGATAACTTGCCTTAAAGATAAACATATGATCTTCCTGCCATCTTTAATTTATTATTTATTTCAATCGTGTAAACAGCAATTGATGATGTTATGCAATGGATGATTTTAAAGTGTACGTACTTTTATATATGATTATTAATTATATTGAAACGATAAATAAGTAGAAAATATTTATAACATAAATATTCAATAGAGAATTCACGATACCATTTGCAACGGAAAGAGAAGCGGATGTTGTTTATCAAGTTCTTAAAGTAGACAAGGAACCTCCAAGATCTGGTGTTAGTAAGAACATAAAACAAAAAGATAATCTCTTACTAGTGTAAGTGTAAATATAATATAAATTATTTAATTTTATATTTTTCATAATAATATTATTGATAACAAATTTATTGATAATAATAATATTATTATTATTTTAGATCATTTTCTGGTACTGAAATACGTAAAGTTCGTGTTGGTGTAACATCTTTCTTTGACAGTTTAACTTTAGTTACAGAAACTATACAACAATTTGGACCACCGGAATCTATGTACAATTATTATTAATTAGTAAGACATTTTTTTTTTTAGAAATACAAATGTTATTTATCTGCTCATATGGAAAAGAAAAAATATGGAGCATACACCTGCACCATATGCGCCTAGAGCTGTTTATGGTTATGCTATGTATATAGGATCAAATTTATTTTTTATACTGTATCTAATATGGTCCATAGTACCTGATTATATTTTGAAAGATTACTTAGGTTTATCGTACTATCCATCCAAATATTGGGCCATTGCGATTCCTGTTTGGGCTTTAACAGCCCTTGCTACATTCGCATTTATCATTTATCCTGCTATGAATTTATTAATGACTCCTGATATTGATGATATTAGAACCATTACAGATAATTATGCTCAAAGTAGAAAAGAAACTACTCCTGGTGGTGTACCACCTGTTTTTGATATACCTATAACTGAAGTTTGTAGACAATTATATTTATCTGAGGATATTAAAGTTAATTACAGTTAAAGTAGTTTTATATATCTATACATAAACTTTTAAGATATTCCATTGTCATTTCTATGATAAAGCATATAATATTGAAGTAAAGAATGAACTGTGAAATATTTAAAAATTCAATCAATAATTTATTTGATATTGTTAATAATGTCATTTTTATTTTATTTTTAAAATTATTGAAAAATTAATTAATATTAATATATACGGTGTAATTAGTTAATGACTTTTATTATTGTGGACTAAAAAGTATTAGTTTAGAGATTATGTTTAATCAATGATTTAAATTTTCTTATTGTTTAATTCTTTGTAGTTAATAAAATAATTGACGAATTACTTCGAATAATACGTGAATTATTAACAATCTTTACTTTTGTCCAAAAGAGACCAATAATCGAACGGTGAATTTAATAGTGATTTGTGAGTCTACTTTTAGTTACATTTATGCCGGCAATGTTTGTGATGCTTTTTACAATAGTAGATTTATATCTTCATACAGTTTATTTACTCGTTGCAAGTTAAATATTAAAATTTAAATTTAATTAATTTTCATTCATTTATTAAATAATAAAAAAAACTTTGTCGTTCCGTTGATGAAATACTGTAAACAATATTTGTTTAATCAATTAATTGAAATATACTATTATATTGAATATTACAGTTAATGGAGCAAATACGTAAAAAATTTTGTACTGAAGAAAATAAAACAAAAACAGAAGATGAAAAGACGACGGACAATAAAGAAATTTGTAAATCAGGGCAAAATTTAACCAGTGACGTTTTATATATTATTTTTAAATATTTAAATTATTTTGACTTGTCTAGTGCATCCCATGTTTGCAGGTATGATTACAATAATCAAATATTTTCTTTATACATCACAAACGTGTGAAGATTATTATCAGACCTAATATTAATAACATATATATAATTTGTAACAAAATATGTTAATAATTAACAATACTTATTGTATTAAGTAAAGAGATTACATGAAAAGTTTATTTATAAGATATGCGTTGTACAGATTAAAGTATTTTGTACAATTATAGATCTTGGTCTGATGTAGCAAACCATGAAAAAAAAACAAGAGGCCCATCATGTTTTGTAAGAAAAGCAAAGGATATGAAATATATAACGTCCAGTGGCGAAAATTATAATAAAAAACTGATAGACTGTGTAAGGATAAAACCTACCATAAGTATCAATTTTTCTGTTGGGAACGAAAGTTTTATTTCACAAGGTATATTTGATTATTTATTAATTTGTGAAATACTTTTCCTTTGATTATTCTATGTATTTGGATTTAATTTGTTAAGGATGTCATACTGGTTATTTACCATACGATTGTGATTTGGTATCGTTGAATACTCATGGTACTGTGATAAATAATGAAGAAACCCAAGAAGATAATGATAACATTGCATGCATGCTTTTTCCCGAAGTACCAAATATTAATGTTTCAATGTACACTTTTAATATTCACAATTGGAAAAGAACAAAAAAAGTATATCCTCTCAAATTCAAAAGTATGTTTAAAGTTTCTGACAAAGACCCTGAGACAAAATGTATGATTTTATTATGTGATTGGAACGGTCGTGTTATAGCGTCTAATATATTGAGAGCTTTGAAAAATGGGTAATACCTTCAATAGTTTTATTATAGAATTTATTATTCATAAACATTGCATTTGTATTTCTTAATAACTAGAATTTATCGTTTGACATAGGTTGAAAGCCTCAAAAACTTTTGTCTGGGGTGGTATTGCTAAAAACCTAATAGTTTGTGCTACTGAAAATAATAAACGCACATGTAAAAGAACTTCGAATTGTGCTGCTATCACGATAATTGGTACAAAAATGAAAGTATGGACTATACTTTTGGATTCAAAATGTAATACCAAGAAATTGGTTGAAGACAAATTAAAAGCCTTTAAGGAAGAGATACAATTGAAGAGGCATTCCATAGGTTTTATGTTTGCTTGTTGTGTACGTGGTCTGAATATGTTTGATGAACCTCACGTAGAATCTACTATATTTAAAGCATTGTTTCCAAAAGTGCCGTTAGTTGGATGTTTCGGTGATGGAGAATTTGGAAAAAGAATTACAAATGGTTTGTAAAATATAAAAAAAAAAGAAACTAGAAAAATTGAATTAATTAATCGTTTTATATAATTATTTCAGAAAAATCCAGAAGGAAACGTTGGCAATTCGTTAATTCAGTATCTACATCATTTATGATACTTACATATGATACTTAATGGAATGATTGGTATTACTATTATCAAGAATACGAGTGCATCTTCTGTTTATATTTTGATCAGATGTAAATAAAATGTTTTAATAATAAAATGTGTGGGACGAAATGTGGAAATAGAAATATATGTATAATTACATATAAGTAAATAAAATATGACATTTTATTTGTAATAAATTGTTCTAAATTGTGTTTTTTTTTTTTTTTTTACATAAAAATAAATTGAAAAATTTTTATCAATATTTTCTATTAATATTAATTTTTATATAATCTCGAAAAACTGATGAATTTGATTCTATTTGTATTAATATCTGTGCAATAATAAAATATATTTGTTTAATTGTTATTCATATTAGTTGCATCAATGAATTAAATTCTGTTTATAGAAATTTCCTCTGGGTCTGCTGCTTTGTAGTGATGAGGAAGCTTGTGTATTCCAAAGATTGGTACAACCAAATTGGACCGGCTTTTGGGGAGGAGCCAAACTAAAAGTAAAATAGAGAATGAGTGAATGAATGCGATAGTAGTAGCAAATAATACAGAATAATATAGAACATTTGAAGTTTAATTTTCGTGTAAAAAATTCATCTTAGGACCGGGACCACTAGTGGGCCGGTTACCTCTACCCTCCATAAAAGAAAGGTACAATACTATCAAAGATCGGTACAATACTATAAAAGAATACAGTATTCTATTTACTATCGCCTACTGGTAATCCCAGTGCTAACTAAGATGAATTTCTTATAAGAAAAGTGGACTTCTGATGTTCTATATTATTTTATATTCTTTAGGTAAATCATAAGACTTCCTTAACTTCCTATTATCAGTTGGGTTTTGAAAGCAGATGATAACAAAATTTTTCGTGATCAATGGGTAATGGTAAAGAAGATTACTTGGTTTAGAGAAGATAGATGGCACTTAAAATCATCTGCAAGGGTCGATTAATTAAAGGGATGATCTTACAACCCCTACGTCGTATGTATCTATATGTATATATATGCAATACATTAGGTTTTAAATCATGTATTTTTGAAATATTTTATTTGCAATTATATATTGATTATTCGTTAATATATAATTTTAATATCATTTTTTGATAATTCAATTATGTAGTATGTAAATACTTACAATTACAAAGATTAACTACTTCATAGAACAATATTTTTATTTTGTTTATAACTTTGATTAATGATTAAATAAAAATAAGAAAGATATATATATTAACTTCAAGAGGAATAAAGGAATCGACCGATGAAATTGGAATCATAAATCGATATTGAAATTGGCGAAGAGAGAAAGAAAAAAGAAAAGAAAAATTCTTCGATACTCCTCCATCGGAGTTGTTTTCAAGGTGGGTTTGCTCTTATATCGTAAAACCGGCGACGTGTACCGAAGGGTGATCAATAACCGTCAATATGCAGGACGACGTTTTAATAAGAGCGTAAGCTGGAGATCTTGGGGCCCAGTTTTATGGCTCCGCGACACAGGACGTCACTTCGGCGCTCTTACTGCCGTCTCTTTATTACCAACCATCTCTTTTTCGTGGTCCCTCTTTCCTTTTCCACTTTCTTTTCTCTCTTTATCTTTGCGTACTCTCAACTACTCCGCGTTTTCTCTCGTTCAAATTTATTATTTATAAAGTATAAAGAACTTGGTCCGCGAACCGCATGCTTTAACTTTGCTTTGCTTTGCGACTTTACTTTTGCCCGCCAGCAAAAGTCACCAAAGTCTGAGGGCACCGGACGTGGCAAGACTTTCGCGATTCTTCTTTTTTTTTCTTCTTCTTCTTCTTCTTTTTCTTTTTTGGTTTCTTCTTGTTTTAAGGTACTCTGGTACTACTACTATATGTAAACTTAAAATGTCTATTTTATATTAAATATTACTTTAATCGTAGAAATTATATTCTAGTTACATTACAAAATATGCGAAATTAGAAGAAGATGAATATTTATTGTGTTATAATATTTTATATACTTGTGTGTAAATACAGGATTGTCCATAAATCAGTTGTAATTTGTAGAACATGTTTACAAAGGATCTACGAAATCCTGATTCTAAGTTTATAGTAATAATTCATTTTTGACTACTAATTTTTTGGATATACTGTATATTATTAATTAGTAAAATACAAGAAGTATTTCTTTGTAGATAGATAGGTATATATATATATTTATATAGGTAGAGGTACTTAATACTACTATACACAAGAATCATCATTTCAAGTTCTTCTCAAGGGTTTTTTTGTTAAATGCATAAATCTAATACATGTACTTATAAAATTTACGTATGTATATACACATATGCTTATGCGAAGGAAACTTAGTCTTACGCGTACCATATGTAAATTTGCATTTCGTCAAGATACCGGCTTGGCGCACCTTCCAAAGATATATTATATCCTAGTCCATTGAATTCGATTATTATCAGATAGGATGCGCTTAATATATCTATCTATCTATATCTATATATATCTGTCTATCTATGTATCAATCTATCTACTGGTAGACATTATGAAAATCATTATTATCACAGTGACACGGTAAATCGAGGAAATTCATTTATCTCTCGAGTGTAGAGAAAGGATATCATATGGCCAGTGTGCTTGCCAGTAAAATCTATCGATTATTAAATGTATTCCTGTATTTAATGATACCGATTAGATTAGTGTAAAAGCATCGGATTACTTAGAGTGGGGACATCTGTTCCTCCTCGAGTCTATCTAACTGTTTGATCTCTTTTTCTTTCTCTATCTCTCTTTTTTATTTTTTTTTTTTTTTATTTTCTTCTATACAAAAATAAGTTACAGAATTGTGTGATGAATATTGTTAGTTGTAATTTAACAAAACACATTTATTATGAAATTCTTTCCTACTTTATTAAACTCTATTTAATATACCTACATTTAATTATTAATAAGTATATGTTTGTATATATAGTAGGAAAAGAAAAAAATGATGTATTTCTTTGAAAAAGGATGGACGAAGAGTGCAAGTAAATGTATTTCGGAGGATCGTGCTGGGAGCCACGCTTCCTGGCTATGCCAGAGTAAACTTCGACTCTGCAGGTTCGTATCAAGGTAAACACCTTCTTAATGCTACCAAGATTGCTCGATGCAACGCACTACTACGTGGCTAAGTCCAAGACGCGTACATAGCCGTCTTCATCGGGTAACTCATGTAAATGAAGTTCTGCGTCAAATTCACCTAGCAAAGTGAGAGATATTTTCGAAACAAGAGAAAAAGAAATGAAGAGAAGATAACGAAGTGAAGAGAAAAAGTAATCATATATTTTAAACAAAATATTACACATTATGTCAGAGAGATTTTTCATTTGAATTTTTGAAACCTTGCAGATGGTATATATCTGTTATTTAAAAAAAAAAAAATTGATTTATATATAATACACGTAACATGCCGCAGATGTTGGGACATTATGGATGACGAGTTTAGAAGAACAAAAAAAAAAGAGAAAGAAAGAAAGAAAGAAAGAAAAAACATTAGATAAGTAGAAAGAAGGGAAGACGGAGAAGAAGAAAGGAAAAGATCGAAGAGAGTCGAACGTGCACGCATTTAATCGATAATCGCTGGCAAGTGGTTTCGTTTCGAAAAGGGTACGCCGGATACGCATCTGCGAGGTATCATCAGTGCCGGCTACAAAAGGGCGATCCATCATGTCTCGACAATCCAACTTCGAAATTGTTCGGTCATCTCCTTCTTCGGGCCGTGCGTGCAATTATAATGGAGATTAACAGCGTGCCGAAACATTTTCTTCCTTTTTTTGTCTTCTTCTTTTTATCATTTCTTTAAAAATATGATTCTTTTTTTCTTTCATTTCTTGTTCTCTCTTTTTCTTTTCACGCCCAAGCGCGAACTCTTAGACGAGTTATTCACGCAAACATCTAAACATTTTAAATATCTAATAGAATTTACTGATAAATTCGACTTTTATTGTTAGGATCATCGTTAGATCTTAATAAGTATTGAACTCGGGGCCTGATATACGATATATGAACACAGGCTTACTCGATTTTCCGCTTATAATGTCTATGCGGTTGTTGGAATATATCATTGTACACTGTTCATTGGGTATGAACTATGTCAGATTATTGGTATTAGATAAAGGAGGAACCGCCTTATATGTAACACGAGATTTTAAGATACATCCTTTTACTCTTACTTCGGTGAAATCTATTAGAAATTATTTATGCAAACGATTATACATAAAGGTTTGTGATTTATGTAATATTCATTTATTTCAAGTTTTTATTGTAATTGTGATTTTTATCGAGGTAATGATCGAACTAGGTAGAGGGGGAGGGGGAAGAAAACAAGAATGGATCTTTGAAAAAGGAGATAGAAATAGTTTAAGAGAGAGAGAGAGAGAGAGAGAGAGAATGAGAGAGCATGAGAGAGATAGAACAAATAACGAGCTAGGAGAGGAGACAAAGAGAAAGAACGGGGAAAGGATTACGGTGCGTCAGCAGCGATGACTGAACGGCCGGTAATCGCCGGTGCGCGCTCTAATATTTCGAATAGTTCGCATTTACAATGGGCTTTATTGGCGGGAAAACTGAGGGTGCCTATTTTGAGCAAGCTGGGACATCCATCACGCGGTGTCAACGTGATTGTCTCTCGGAGCACCGAGCGCGTAAAGCCCAAAGGAAAATTATTGACCATTTACTACGCTTGCAACTCCCCCGTTCATCCCGTTTTTAAAGGGACGATGAAGATTCCTTCCGGCGGGTTGCGGCTAACTTTCTCAAAGATTTCTTCTTTTCCTTTCTTTTTTCGATTAAGTAAATACTTCGTTGGGTAAGTTAACGAGCTACTCTGAGCTCACGAGATTGACTGATCTTATGTAGTAATTTGATGATGCTAAAACAAAAATGAAAAGAAAATAAGAAAAATATTTTTGTAAAAGTTCTAGCAACCGATTTTTTAATAAATGTAAGTACCTTTTTCAAGGGACAATATTATAGCTGGCAAGCGAATTTAGTCACGAGCCAACGCGACCACATCTTCTTCTTCTTCTTCTTCTTCTTCTTCTTCTTCTTCTTCTTCTTCTTTTATAACTCATCCCTCTTTCCCACATTGTGTGTTGTATTCAAATGAGTTTTCTAATGC